ACCTGCGCATTCTCCTTTGGTTTAACATCCTCCTCGTCTTCGATCTCTACATTCTCTTCCACCTCTTCTTGGGTTGCAGGAGGGGCCTCTTCCCTGGGAACATTCTCAACTGGGGCTCTACCCCAGGCGGGTGCTACCCTTCCTCGACCTCCGCCCTTTCATTTTCTCCTACCTCTGACTCAGCCACGGCCTTTTGTTGTGGGCTTCGTTGTTGGTTCATTGATGGGAGTTACGGGCCTGACGTCGTTGTATCACGTGTTAACCATCTGCAAATAGAAGAGTGAAGGAGATTAGATACCAATTTGGATCACCAGATACCAATTGGGATCAAGTCATAGCACGAAAAGAGAAGAAGACAGAGAGATTTCCTAAAGTCTCGTAGCCTCTCGAAGAAAAATACAGACGTCTCTGTACCGTTCCTCAAGACTCTACTAGACTCGTTTTGGTACAATGAAATCAACGAACCTATGACTCTGATACCAACTTTGTTACGACCCAGACTGCTGTGATTGGCACCCACACTAACCCTTTCGTGGGAGAACCAGTACTACACCCCAACTAAACATTTTAAGAAACTAAAGCATTTAAATATACGGAAGCAGGTTTAAATGACAAATTAAATATGGAGTTCCCATAAACTCCAAAAGTTTAACAAACATCTATCACAGAAATTCAACCCCTAGAACTGAAATTCATTGTACCAAAACTCTACCAATCAACAAGTCTAAGAAAAAAGGGTGGTGCAACCCCAAAAACTAAACATAACTAAGAGTCTAAACATGTAATTTAAGTCTGAAAAGAATGGACTAAACTAACGTTGGATCCATGGCAACCTGAAAGAATTGGCTCACCCTAGAATCTGGTCTCGGTTAATGATCTCCAAACTGAGGTATGTTAGTAGCCGCCTGAAGATGCCCTATACTCAACAAAGAAAGAGCAAGTGCAGTTCAGTTTATGAAATAATGGTGTACTGGTAGGATCACGCAGCTACTCTAGTAAGCGAAATATACGCAAGTAATTACAACACGGTAAACACACATATATAGAAATGTAATAATTCAGTTATCATTTAGGAGTAACATACAATTTCCCAATACCAATGACAAGTAGATAAGAACGTAATAATCACAAGTGGTCCTCTCATAGAACGCACACCCAAACTGTTAGTGTATCGGAATGTGACACTCGATCCAATATACATGTGTCGGAACGTGTCACTCGGTCCAATATATTTGTCGGAATGTGACACCCAATCCAATATATGTGTCGGAATGTGACACCCAATCCAGTCAGCACAACCACAGTCACAATCACACCCATAATGAACAGCACTCATAGTCATACAATCAAGTAATAGGTTCATGGCATGTAATTGTTCACACATAATCATTTTATTAGATTTGATTCACATTCCCTATTCACATACATGCACACATACAATGAAGTAACTAACCGGCATATATCACACAACAGGAAATCGAACCATCACCTACCTCAAAACCAAGCTTGAATACTCCTAAGACACTTGAGCCTTCCCTTTCTGGAGTCTTTCAGCTCATTCTTGATCTAAAACAAGCAATTAATGGAAGAAGCACTAAAGAATGTCTAATTTACCCAGATTATAAAAAAAATTAACCCAAGGCCAAACCCATGAACCTAATGTTCAACTAGGGCTTTTCCCACCATTAACTTCAGGCCAAAACCCTCCCACAACGATAATTACCCAAGATTCTAAATCTAAGAATCGAAATACAGATTAGGGGAGTAATTAACTTATCTTTAGCACGAGAATTCGTGGAAATGTGATAAGGAACTATCCTGGGTCGTCCCTTAGCTCTTAAGAACGATGTTTTGCAGAAAATGATGTTTTTGGGGTTTTTCCCCAATTTAATTCGCGACTGGCCCGCCACAGCGTCCCCGCCCTGGCGGAATTAACCCCGCCCCGGTGGCTTGCACGGAGACAGAAACTTGGAATTTGAGTTCCAAGCTCCCATTTCACAGCACACCTTCAAACTTGGACGTTTTAAAACTACCCTTTCACGCCAATATCAGTTTTGGGAGTTCTACTCGCCCAAATTCGATTCCTTAAAGTTGTACAGGCTCTTTAACGTCTTGGCTATCCACTCGCGTGATCAAACTCATAATTAAATCCCCAATCCATTACTGAATTGCCCTAGACCTCACCTGACTCAAATTTCGTCCAAGCCTGGCCTAGGCTAGAAATTTCCAAGTTACTACTCAGAAGTTTTCTGGCCCAAATTCCTTCCCCATTTGTTTTCCATAATGACGGGAACATGTCGATACATATCCCATTGGAAAAATTGAAAAAACACGTAATTGAGATAAAATTAGTCAGCCTAAAACTAGTTAATTTTGTACCCAATTAGTATGTATTTGTTATCAAACTGATATCCCATTGAAATAATTGAAAAAATAATATGTAATTGAGATTTCAACTAAATTAGTCAGCCTAAAACAAGTTAATTTTGTATCCAATTGGTATATATTTGGTATCCAATTGATATCCCATTGGATAAATTGAAAAACGAACATGTAATTGAGATTTCAACTAAATTAGTCAGCTTAAAACAAGTTAATGTTTTATCCAATTGGCATACATTTGGTATTCAACTGATATCACATTGGAAAAAATGAAAAACCACCATGTAATTGAGATTTCAACCAAATTAGACAACCTAAAACAAGTTAATATTTTATCCAATTGGTATCCAACAAATATCCCACTGGAAAATGGAAAAATCAAATGTAATTGAAATTTCAACCAAATTAGACAATCAAAAACAAATTAATGTTGTATCCTATTGGTATACAGTTGGTATCCAACTTGAAATTTTATAACAAAGACTAAACTTAAAAATGTATGAAGTTGATATCCAACTAGTATAAATATATCTGGGAAAAATAAATCTGGCAATGTAAAAAATGCATATTATATTTTGTTGTCAAAAACTGTAGCAAAAGAAATATACATCATCCAAAATCAATACATGTAATAATTAAAAGTCTAAATTGCAATCAACTATTTCAAAGTACATTTCCTTGGTCTTTGTGTAGGATAATTGCTAGTATCCTAAGCATGTTCTTTTGCTATGCGAGGTCCACCAAATTTTCTAGCAACCATTCCAGTTACTTCACTCTCACTAATTTTGCCATCAACATTCTTGCTTCTTCCATATTCTCACATGATTGTGCTGTAGCTTTTACGATGGTACTTTGCATCAATGTGAATGAGACTCATACCAAAAACTCCATTGCTAATATGTTTAGCGAAGCGACATGCGTACAGTCCACAATCGCTGAAATAACATTGAAGAAAAAAATTGAGAAGAAAAGTGAATTACTTATTATGAACAAAACACAATAAAATAGGAATACATACTTTGAACTTGGATCTTATTGAGGCACATTCTTTATAAATACAACTTTGAGCTTGGATTGAGACTTGTCAACATATGAATAGAGGTCAAGCCTTTTACCATAAAATCTTGTGCTAGCTAAAAACAGTGATATAATTGTGGCAAGTTTATCAATTGTTTTCTCCACATTCCTCGTGTGTAGATCTCCTCCCATCATTGAATCATATTCATGTGGAAGAGTTCTGCTGATTTTTTGTTTTTTGTATGAAGAAGACAAAGTTGATGATGGTGAGAGAGATAAAATTAGTTCTCTGTAAAAGAGGACCATGGGGTGGGGGTGGGGGGTTTGCGTGTGGGTAAAAGAGGAAGGTGGGGGTGGGGGTAGCCATGTGAAAACTGGTAAAAAAATACCTAAAATGGTCTAAGAGATAATGACAATTGATTCTCCAATATTAATGTTATCCCTAAAATGGTGTAAGAGATAATGACAATTGATTCTCTAATATTAATGTATTTCTCTTACTTATATTAATTATAATGTAATTATAAAAATAATAACTAATTAATAAAATAAATTAAATTAAATTATATATTAAAACTAATTTGTTAATACTTGTAATTAAAATGTTACAAGTAGTAATATAAAAAAAGTACACCTAAAGGCTTTAATATTAAGCCTTAAATAGATATGTGGGGTGATTTTTCCTTTTCTAAATTGTTCTATTTCCTAGGAAAAACAAGCTTCGACTCTAAGAAAAATAGAATTCTTTTCTTTACCTCTACATAATTAATGAAAAGATTGTTCTACATTTCTTGTTTTTGTGCAGCTAAGTTCACTTAGTTCAGGCCGAAAACAGATACTTTTTGTCAACCACATAACAAAAGGGACCCTCCCTAATAACATAGACGAAAATAGACACTTCGCCTAGAAATAGACATATTATTCAAAACAGCTATTAACTGTCTATTCCACTGCAATATAAAACTCAAATATTTTAATTGGTTCGCCTATAAATGGGGAACTACAATTTTTTATTAGTTTTTCACATTAAGGAATATCTTTTCTAAATTTTAAGTGTATTATTACGTCTATTTGATACATAATAATAAAAGTATAAAAAACTGAGAGTAGAATACAGTCAATTGTATAAAAATTACAAAGCTCGACAGGGACATGATTCCACTTATAACCGGTTTCTCTACACAAACTACATCTTAGTGTCACGTGACTTGGAGCAATGTCTATTTCATTTCTACTATATGCTTAGTACTATTGGATCCAGAATTTCTAAGATTTTATGTATCAAAATTTTATAACTCAATACCACGCATATCACAAAATTTTATGGCATGCGAACAAACTTGAAACTTTTAAAATTTGAGAATATTTTTCAAAAACAAACTTTAAAAGAAA